CCTGTCCCAAGATATGGTCCGCCCCATCCACCCTGACATGGTCCGCCTTGTCTCACAGTCAGCCCTGTCCTACGACCATAAAAACAACATAGTGAGTCAAGGGCATTAAAACAAATACAAAAAACTGAATTAATCCACAAGCAAACACACCTTTATATGCTGATCAACATTGATGTAGTGTAAAAATTTTTAGATTGCAATTGAAGCACTTTTAGAGGTGCCAGGGCACTAGACAACTTTTGGGGACTGGTACCCATACCCTCACGAAGGGGAATTTTGCGTCATTTTAAGACAAAAGGGGAAATTTTAAGCCATATATGAGTTCTTTAAATTTAGGTTTTACATTAACTCTTGGCACAATTTCCTACCATTACTTACAATAGCTAGTATATTTATTACTATAGACCTAACAAATAAAACATATAACAGGAAGTTTTTCTTGAGATAGGCTATCTCATTATTTTCTTTATTGCTTTGTTATTGCACTTGACTGACTCAGACATCAATCAGAGCTCCAGATATATGTTTTGGCCAAGGGTTTTATACCCCTCAAATTCTAAAGTGAGGGGTAAAATGCAAATTCTGAAAAATGTTAGGGATATATTAAAATCTATAGCAAGCATAATGCATTTTTGTTTATGATAAAAAATTAAAACTGACAGTTAAAAAAAAACTTGTACAACAAAAATTGAATCAGTGCAACAAGCTCTGGAAATGCAGACTTTCCTAGGCAAGGGTATGTTATACCCAAGTGCTGGAAACACAGGAAAATTATTTCCTATTATAGTCATTAATTGTTTCTTTATTTTTAAAGTTAAAAATGTATCACACTATTTTGCAATCTGCACTGGTCAGTTCTTAATCTATTTTCTACATATTTCTGCCTGTTCTTTAGATTGAAACAATTATAACAATGAGAATTGAAATAAGAATTAAATAAAAATAAACAAGAAAGTTTTATGCCTTTTCTAAAAAAGGGTTTGGTTTCAGAGAAAATTGTCTGTAACTGTAAAACTGGGTACGAAAATATTTGAGTACAAAACTGCAAGAGAAATACGTTTTTTCCAACATCAACTGACAGAAATTAAAATAGTTTTGTTTATTAACTAGCAAAATATGACAATGTATGTCTATTCTCTAAACAAATTGAATATAAGGTAAACTCCTACAATGATTATCTGCCACATTAATTTTGTCAATAATTTTACGAGAGTTACCTCCCTTCTACATTTCTCACTTCCTGCTACTTTCGGTTTTAACATACAGCGTTGTTGACAACTGTAATTTAGTTTTCAATCCATTGAAAGTTAAACAGAAATATATTTTATTTTTATGAAATGAAAACATCACTTTTTTTGTTAAATATCAAACATTTATTCTACAATTTTTTTTAGGGGAATTTTCTGCTGAAATAGGGGAAAAAAGCATATGATTTTGAGAGGGGAATGGGGCCGATATTCGGCCCCAAAAATTGCCAAACGAGTGCCCTGGGTGCACATGACACAACATTTTGAAAGTTTTTTTTTTCTAAATTAAGGACAATTACTGAACAAATCGGAATAAATATACAAATCCCAAGGTGAACAACTACAAATGCTGACCAACACTTCTGTAAAAAAGTTTGTATAAAGTGTGATCCCTCGGAAGCATTAATCACAACAAAATTACAATTTACATGAAAACTTCAGATTCTGTTTGATTGAGTTGAGTCTGTTAATGAGGAATAATGATAGAGTGCAACATCCCTCTCAATTGAGTGGTACTTAGTTTTTAACACTTAAAAGTGTTGGAATCCAGGGTTCTCGGTGACGCTTATTTCGTCGTCCCGGTACACATGTTTATTACAGCTGGACGCAAATATTTCAGAGCAAGGATTCCGCATACGTTTAATTTTGCCTGGGGACGCATAAACATTACCGATTGTATACAACCACAAATACGTCAGCGCGTGTCAGTCTATAAGTAGGAGGCGGTCCTATGCAAATCCACCAGTGAAGCGATTAGCCAATCAGCCATAACGCTTTCGATCATTATCACACGATAGAGATCAGACTAATGTATACACACGCTGTACATGTAATTACCAGATATAGCACATGTTGATAAAAATTTTTATCTTTGATCAACAGTTGATTGGAAATTGGCAAATTTTACCGACAAAAGGATTAACTATTGACTATTTAAGACTGTTTTCTCAATTTAAAAATGAGTGCAATTATGAATTATTGTCGAATATTTTCAGTATTTGCTTTAGCTTTCATTCTTGCAAATTTTGCATCTTGCATATTTAGATTCTATCCGAAAATTTATCCCGAACATCGGCGATTTCACATTCGCTAGAAACCCCTCAAATTTCGCAAAGGGCACAAAAATTCTCAGTTTCCAAACCAAACATGTGAATGAATTGTTCCTTTGTTATTTAATCAACATTAAATCTTTAAATATCGATCTTCAATTTGCCCCCTTTGAAGATAATTGCTCAAATAATTGTTGATCAATTTCTCTTACACACTATGTGAAGCTGTACACGGTTTTCCTATTCATTCGGCTAAACGCTGCCTATTTACATTTACGTTTTGTTTTTTTTACAAATATAAACTTTTAGTCTTTAGAGTGGACTTATTTAACCAGAATAAAATTTGATTTGATATAAAAGTGGAAAAAAAAAACGATTTACATGTGTTGATGGATTATAATTTTATTGTTTTATAACAAATATTAACAAAAAAAATAATAATTACACAAAAATAAAATAGTTGTAGTTGTAGAAAAAAAATCACACACAGGTTAAAACTTATCCTTAAAAAAGTTTTAAAAAGGATCATGAAATCAGCTTTTATCAAGTCACAATGTGATTTTTGTCTGACATGCATTATTAGATTATTTATTGATAGCAAAGTACTTGTCTTAACATCAAGCCATAAACTTAGATCATCCAAAAAGTAGTTCTTAGTGATTGTCAACAATATTTAAAACTTTCAGGAAATTTCAACCAACTAAATATCAAATTAACTGAATATATTTTTCTGGTGACACATGGATGTTTTAATCAGGTGGTTGGTAATTTTTTTAATTACTAATCTTTCCTCCTGGATCATTTAACAAATCTTGTAGTCATTCCTAGAAAATGTTTATGGCTTCAAAAGGTAATGATGTAATTTCAAGGAATATCAGTCATTCAGCCAATTTGATAGTTTGGCACTGTAATAGATTCTTATGCATTTGTACTGGTAGCAGTTTTGGGTTTTTGATACCCTGATTGTATTGAATGGTAGGCACTTGGTTTGTAAGGTATGCAAGTACTTAGAAATATTCTTGTTGCACTATTTATAGAATAGTGTTGCAAGAAATAATGCATTTATGGTTCAAGAATTTGATCAAAAGTGTAATGTACAAATGAAGATTAAGCAGTATAGCTTGCAAGAACAATTTTTTATGCATTTGATACCTTTAAAGGACGGTTAATAAATTGATTGTAACAAGTGAATATAGAACTCTTAATGGATAATAATTTAACTTAAAGTAGACAGTTATGGTGATACAAAAGATACAAATGTTATATGGAATGTAAAACACAAACAATGTAATACATAGATATATAAATATACTTCCCCATTCCATAACATGTAACATCTGAAGTCCCATTCATGTCATAACCTGAGCCGTATTGTGACTATTCAGCTATAAGACTGCTAGTACAACTTGTAATGTATCTTATAATCTTAAAAAAATCGCTTTAATATATATGAGGATGGATATACATGTATTCAGCTTAACCACTTGACAAAGACTAAAAGTGTTCTGTAGATAAAGCTGTCATGATCATTTGTTATATTAAACAGTAAACCATAATGAAGGAAGTAAAAACCTGGGGGGAAAAACATTGACTTTGTTGGAATTACTGTAAAGAGTTAATGTTTTGACAGGGTAAGTACATCACAAATGTAAATCTTAGTCTTGTACCTTTACATACAGTGTTCATTGAACTTTTGCACAACTGGACCAAATACATCTGTAAACTTGCATTATTTAGACCACTTTTAAGACAAATATTATTTTTAAAAGATAGATAGATTTATTTGTTGTGAATTTCAGGGGACAAGTGCTGATCAAGACAACAGATTTGCTGACAAAAAGAAAAAGCTAATGAAACAAATGAAATTTAGTGAGAGCATTGAGACTAGAGTAAGTTATCGTTTGTTATTGCTAGGCTACTTTTAGTACTTAATGGTTTTTCATTTGCAATTCTGCATTCTGTATATATGTAAATGAAGTTTGGCTTTGCTACTTTACTTTATAAGATAAAATGCTCTGGTTGCATGTACGCAGTTGGCTTACACTGGTCGAAAAACTCTTAGCCAAATTTAATTATGTATTTTTCTGATTTCAAAATAGCATAACCTGGACAAAAGATCCTGTAGCCAAATCTTTTTTTTTTCTTCAAGTTTTTGTAGCCAAATTAATAAAAAGTTAGAAAATTGTTAATAAAATGGCAGAGTGAGCTGTCAAACAATTTTTTGTCTTCAAATTTCTGTTACATTCTCAAGCAAAGTTATAACATGCCTCAAGCTTCTCAATACAGTGATATTTCTCCAAACCAATCCCAAAGTGAAACAGTAAGGTTTTCTCAAAATTTAATGCAAATAATTTGTAGTCATAAGATCAAAACATCATCTGAAATTTGAGTTGCATCTGTACATGTTTTCAGCAGCTTTCAAAGGATGAAGTTTTATTTTTCAACTTTACTGGTGGAGGAAGACCTCATATGCACCTTTGTGCATTATTTTAGGCACAAGCAGGCACCTGTCAGAGTAGAACCACCAACCTGTCATAAGCTAGCTAGATAGCTTCCTCATGTGAAATAATCTGAAAACCCTAACATTGTACAGTTAGACAATGGGTATAATTCTGCAAGCAATATTTTTGAAGCTGTGCTCCTTTTAACTAAGAATTTAAAGAAACAACAACCAATAATCAAATTTTTATTGTACTGTTTGCAGGTTGATCTGTCTAAAGTAAATGTTGACACTATGAAACCATGGATTGCAACACGCATTACAGAATTACTTGGCATGGAAGATGATGTTATCATAGAATTTGTTTATAATCAACTTGAAAATCGGGTAAACATTTCGAAAATTATTTAAGATACTTTTATATCTTTGATTTTCTTATTTTGGTTATGCCAACTTTTTACCATTTGCTTAATATGTGACTTGAACTACATGTATGTTAAATTTACTTTGGATTACAATATATTTGTACTAAAGAAAGGCCCCTTCCATGATTTGTGTTACAAAATGAGATATAAATGATATTTTATCATTTAAACCATATCAATTAGTGACTTCTCATTTGTTTTCTATGTGGATCTATTCTTTTGAAAAATAAAACAACAAAAAACATGAAATTTAACTTTGTATGACTGGCAAATTTATGTTTTATTTTTTTTGCTGTGGTGTATTCATACAATTTTGTGTGAGACATTTATTACAAGGAAAATCTAAAAATGAGAAAAAAATCTTACACTTTTGACACTAAAGTATCAAAATCATCTTGTTTTTCTATCAGTATTTCTAAATACAAAACTTCAGTAAAAAATGCTGAGATAAATGCAAGTTTTTCTTTACAAATTCATTCATTTCTTTTCTTAATTCAATCATTTTTGCTGTATTTATTAAATGGAAATCATTATCATTCATTTTAACACCCTTACTGGTTTTTTTAGGGTTTTTTTTATTTTTTCAAGGATAAAAAAGTATAATGTTGATTATTCAAGTTGCAAGATGTTTTATCTAGATAATTATGCTCAATTGTTATTTCTTTAGATGTTTGTGATTTCCTTATTTTTAACTCTCTGAAGGATAGCACCAATAATTTCTTGTCTATGCAACAAGTATTGAGCTACTGTACTAGTGCCCAGTTTATATATACCTTCAATGTGTCCAGTTTCCATACAAGTTTCTCTTAGATGTACTAGTAATTTGATATCAATATCCCATGGAAACATTCGAATATATCAATTTTAATATCAAAATCCCTTAGCAACATTTTTATATCAAAATTCCTTACCAATATTTTAATATCAAAATTCCTCGGACTTAAAAGTTCATTATTCATATTTAACATGATAAGTGTTAAGAATTTTTGAAAGATTCTTAGAAATTATATCTTCTTTTCCATATTGTTTATGTGTTGTTTTTATCAAGCTGATTATGTAGAAATGTAAAGAAAAACTTGCCAAGAATAAATATTTTCTAGAGAACATCCGTAGATAATCATAGTACACAAACTTTTCAATCGCTGTTACTTATTGTTGAATGTTTCCATTTAATATCAGAGGTGATCTTAATTATTCGAACGCCTTGATGAATTAACGAGTGCAGTCAAGGATTTGCTCTCTAAACAGCCAGAATACAAGATATAATGCATTATCAAATATGGGAAAGGATCACATAGAATAGCAACAAGTTACTTGGTTTGTATCTACTTTATTCCCGATTTTTATAACGCAACGAAATCTCAAGAAATCACTATTTGGATTCTGGTTGACAATCGAAAAATTACAAAACAAGATGTCCGACAATCGAAATTACAAACTTAAACATATCAGGAAAAGAGAATTCAATATTTGTACAGTACAGATAAGAGGAAGAATTCTTTGCTTGAGGAACGGAACGGGTTTTCTGGTTTCTGTACATTCTACACGAGAAAAATGAATAGCATACATGTATAAAAGAGTTTTATATTCTATAAATACCTGTTGACTTTCTATGTTTAGAACAATGTGGGTTTTTTTCTCCTCTGCCTCTTAACCTTTTATTGCCAGTAAAAAAACAAAATCCAATTGTTTTATACACTCAGAGTTAACAACATATATTGTAATCATTATTTAATATTCTAGCAGATAGATACAAGCCACCTTTTGTTCCTTTGCTGTGTTTAAGGTAGGAACTGTTTAACCAATGTGTAAAATAACAAAGCCTACATACTTCCTACCAGGGTTATAAAAAAATATTTTGTCACTTATTAGTGAAGAAGATTAAAATAATTTTAGTTCCTTGGTAGTTCTGTTTTATATATACCAAGAAAGTATATCACTTAAGTATTTTTTTGTATTTTATTGATTTCTTTTTGCAGAAATAAAAAAACTTTCTGTCTTCAGTTACAAGTTTATTCCAAACAGCACTTTAAATAATATTTAAAGTCTATTAAGAATTTTTACAGATAATAGTATTAGTTTGCATTAATTGAAAAAAGCTTTCTTTATATATAGTAATTAATAAATTATAGAAATCAGTTAACATTATAACTTATGAAAGGAGATTGTTACCATAGAAACAGTTTTAAATTTCACTTTGAAAATGAAAATCAACAGTTAATTGCTGCCTTTATTTTGATATTTCCTCGCCATCAATTTAAGAACACCTGGCAATAAAGTATACTAATACATATAACAGTTTTATGATACCTGTATTTAGTATATCCCTTTTAGAGAAATAAATTGAAGCCCTTAAATGTTTACACTTAAAGTTACCTTATTTACCATTTAAATTAAGGTTTCTTAAAATTTGATAGGAAATTTCAGTGCATGAAATATTGAAATTAAAGAACTAACTTTACTGCACTCTCTTATTTTTCTTATTCATTTCAGAGAATTGTGAATATAGGAAAATTAGAAATGATCGCTTATTAATGCTCCTTTTTTCTTCCCCTGTTTCGTTGTAGTATCCTGACCCGAAAGAGATGCAGATAAATTTGACGGGATTTTTAAATTCAAAGAATGCTCGTGTGTTTATGGGAGAGTTATGGGAGTTGTTGTGTAGTGCTCAAGAAAACATTGGTGGAATTCCAGCCAAATTTGTGGAACAAAAGAAAGAGGAGATCAAAAAGAGACAGGTTTGTTGTTAGCCTTTACAAGATTAATATGCCAGAAGTGAATGTTTTTTGCTTCGGATAGGCCTTTTTTACCAATTGACAAATCTGTTGAAAATTTCCATTTTAATCTTGAGAATGATCAAAAATTATGATGATGCACTTCCACCTGTTTAACTTCTATCAATATAGCATGAACTGTTGATTGTAAGTAAATAAGTATTGAATCCTCTAACATATTTATATTTGTTGAATATCTACAGGCAGAGCAGGAAAGAATACAGCAAAGTTTAAAGGTGTCGGAGGAACAAATTAGGAATGCCATAATGAAGGAACGAGAGGAGGCAGAAAGAAGGTATATACAGTGTAATCATTGCTATTATAGCTAATTGACATGACATTGAAGATATATACATATTACAATTGTACTGTGGAAATATTCTTTTATAAAGGATGATTATAATCTGTATCTATGTATTTCTTAGAAAGAAATTTGTTCTCCTTTGTTTGCAAATATAACTGTTATGATCAAAACATTACCTGTAGATGCATCTTTGGTGTGACATTCTATGACCAAGTGGTTACGGTCATTTAGTTTTTATCACTGCTGTAGGTTCAAATCTTGTCAAGCTAGCCTACAGAAGGTTGGTGGTTTTACCTAGGTGCCCAGTTGTGCCTGAAATACAGATATTATGGCAGTAAATTTATATGGGAAATTAGATTCTCAATATTTGTACTTTTCAGGGAACGTAATAGTCCAGACAGACATAGAAGAGACAGGTCAAGGTCACCTCGGAGGAAAAAGCGTGACAGAAGTTCATCTAGATCTCCAAGGTAAAGTAATAGTCTGTAAAAATGACATATTATATTTATATATTTCTTTTGTGTATTTCATTATTAAGATTTCATTATCAAAGTGAGTAAGAAAAGTAGTCAGAAGTATCTTGTGAGACTGGGCTAGCTCTTTACTGTTGTGGTCACTGTTTTCAATGATATTCTGGACAATTAAAGTTCAGCCAATAAGTTGTATTTGGGTCAGAAGTCATTGACAGAATATTTTGGAAGACCTAATACTTTTTAAAAAAAAATATGAATGCAATACATTTACCTAAACTTTCAGTAAGACAGTTGTTTATACAAATATTTTGATGAAGTTTATAATATATCTTTATGTCGTAGTTTGATTTATGATGCAATTCTGTAAAATCTACATTTATTATTACAGTAGACATTCAATAGAAGCCATAGTAGTAAAAATATAAGAAATATATATGTAGAATGTAGAAATTAATGTATAGAAAAACTCATTATTCTAGTGAAAAGTATGTTTTAATGAAGATATATTCAAATTGCTTTACAGGAAAGATAATGATAAAACAGATGACCAGTCCACTGAAAATAAATCCGATGATAAATCAGACAGTAAATCAGAAAATAAAACCGTTATTGACGGTCATACACCAGTTGCACTAGTGCCATTACAAGTTAAAGACGATGATAAAGATTCGGATGCACCAAAAGATAAAAGTGAGACAGCTGCTGTTACTACTAATGGTGAAAAGGAGAAAACAGAATCGGATAGAGAAAATGATGAAGAGAAAGACGGTAAAGATAAAGAGGAGAGAAAAAATGGTGAGGAGAAAAGTGGCAAAAGTCGTAACAGATCAAGGTAAGTTTGTGATCAGTTATCTTGATTTGAATTTGTTTTGATATTTTTATATTTTAAAGAAAATTCAGATGAAAATCAGTATTAAGATTTATTTTTAAATCTTTAATGTTGACACAATTTTAGAATGTATACATTTGATACATAAAAACACAGTGATTCCATTCCAATGTTTGTTATTATATAAAAAAAAAGAAATACAAAATGATGAGATTAAATATTGAAAATTCCACAAAAGTTGTGATGATTTAAATAATTGATTTGTCTAGGCACAAATTGTTTAATGTATATGACTTTTTATGAAAAACATAGTTTGGAAGTTTTCTTATTGTCCTCAAATTTAAGTGAATTCCATGCAAAACTTTACTAGTTATAAAGAAATGGGTTGTTGTGAACATTATAACTGCTATTTATCATCTTAAGAATTATTTAATTCATCTGTAAATTTCATTCACAGGTCAAGGTCTTGTTATATTAGTTCATGTGTAAATTTTATTCACAGGTCAAGGTCACGTGATAGAAAGAGAAGAAGTAGGTCAAGGTCAGGAGATAGGAGGCGTGATGACAGAGACCGTGATAGAGATAGAAAATACAGTAGAAGATCAAGGTATACAGTATTCTATCTATCTTAACAAAACCCCGGTGCTGACTGTATCAATAGATGGAAGATTTTTATTGTTATTATTTTGTTGAACATGCAATAGACATGTATCTCACTACAGTTTTAAACTTTTTAGCATTTAGCATAAATTGAATTGAGATATATTCGATATTAATTGGAGAAATCAAATTTTATATTATTTGTGTAAAAGTCTGACATAACCAAATTTGGTGCTAGATCACTCTAATTTAAGATGTTAGTTACTGTTAACAGTTGAGATTGCTTCTTTGATATATGTTTCATTTCATGAAATGGGAACCAGAGTTTATATTTCATTGAGTTTTAAACAGTGTGATATGACTTTTATCTTATTGATTAATATCTCATAAAGAGTATAAGATAAAACATGAATGTTAATTATACCCCCGCACAACGAAGTTTTAAGGGGGGTATACTGGTCCGGCCATCCGTCGGTTTTTCCTTGTCCGTCCAATAACTTAAGATTCCTCTGACCCACAGACTTTATTTGGTAGTTAGATTGGTCATGAATAGTAGATGATCCCTATTGATTTTGAGGTCAAAGGTCAAGGTCACATGGGCCTTGACTTCAAAAAGATTGTCTGCCCAATAACTTAAGATTCCTTTGACCCACAGTCTTCATATTTTGCATGGAGGTTAGCCATGGTAAGATGACCCCTATTGATTTTGAGGTCACTGGGTCAAAGGTCAAGGTCACAGGGGCCTTGACTGCAAAAAGCTTGTCCGCCCAATAACTTAAGATTCCTTTGACCCACAGTTTTCATATTTGGTATTTAGATTGATCATAAAAAGTAGATGATCCCTATTGATTTTGAGGTCAGGGTCAAAGGTCAAGGTCACAGGGGCCTTGACTGCAAAAAGCTTGTCCGCCCAATAACTTAAGATTCCATTGACCCACAGTTTTCATATTTGGTATTTAGATTGATCATAAATAGTAGATTATTCCTATTGATTTTGAGGTCACCGGGTCAAAGGTCAAGGTCACAGGGGCCTTGACTGAAAAAAGCTTGTCCGCCCAATAACTTAAGATTCCTTTGACCCACAGTCTTCATATTTGGTATGGAGGTTAGTCATGATGAGTAGATGACCCCTATTGATTTTGAGGTCACCGAGGCAAAGGTCAAGAACACAGGGGCCTTTACCAAAAAAAACTTGTCGCCCAGTACCCTAAGATTCCTTTGACCAGAAGTCTTCATATTTGGTGTGGAGGTTAGTCATGATTAGTAGATGACCCCTATCGATTTTGAGGTCACTTGGTCAAAGGTCAAGGTCCCAGGTGCTTTGACTTCAAAAAGTTTGTGCGCCCAATCATTTAAGAAACCTTTGACCCACAGTGTTCATATCTGGCATGGTGGTTGAGCATGACCATTAGGTGACCCCTATTGATTTTGAAGTCACTGGGACAAAGGTCAAGGTCACAGGGGCCTTGACTAAAAATGCTTGTCCGCTCAATTGCTTAAGAATGCTTTGGTCAACAGTCTTGAAGACATATTTGGTATTGAGGTTGTTTATGGCTAGTAGATGACCCCTTTTGATTTTAAGGTGACTGTCCAAGGTCATGGGGATTTTACTATAATTATTATTCTTTCAGAGATCTTTGTGAAGATTATTCATACTGTTTTGAAAAATGATGGCAATTAGGTTAAAAATGTAGTTTTTCTTTCATTTAAAGATCAAGATCACCAAGACGAAGATCTCCTAGAAGGTCGCCACCACGTAGGAGGTCAAGGTCACGAGATAGGGATAGAAGAAGGTCACCACCTAGGTCACGTACACGTAGAAGTGCTAGTCCAGCAAGGCGTAGATACTCTCCTCCCCGTAGACAGAGATCTCCTTCACCTCGAAGACGTAGAGATCCCAGCAGGGAAAGAGATAGGGACAGAAAAAGAACACCTCCACCTCCTCCAAAAAGAAAGGAAAGGTTGGTCAATGTTTATACACTCATAATAGAATGACAGCCTTTATTCATCGTGTTTTCCTTAGTAACATAATGTTATTATGATGACTACATTGAAATGAAGATAAAACTGTTGGTAAATTTTGTCTTAATATTTTAAATGGGGCTCGTGTAAGTGCAGAATATTTGACTTCCGTCTCTGAATTAATTGCAGTTAATTGCAAGTTAGAAGAACTGTTTTCTGAAGTTATGTGAAAGCAGACATGACAGAAAAAGTGTTTCGTTAAGTTTAGCTACTCATGTAAGCAAACATCAATTCATAAGACATTATGCTTTTCTCATAAAATCCATGTATTTGTATTGTTTGTTAAAAAACAGGTACTTTACTATAAACATTTATTTTATGCAATAAAGTTTTGAATTGTATTGAGGCAAATATAGTTTCTATATGATTTAAACTGCTTTTACTTCTAACAGCATGATATTTATGTTAACAGGAGTCCAAGTAGTTCTGACAGTGATTCGGACAGTTCTAATTCGGATGCACCTGCAGGGAAAAGACCTCCAAATACTAGAAAGGTACATATTGATATATATATCACAACAAGCAATTTGTTTTTGCCTTAACTTGCTGAATTTCTTAAATTGACTTGTGTAGCTTTGCATTAGGAACAGTCCATTCAGATTATAAGAGCAATATCAAAATATACAAATTGAGCTGCAGCCACTGTAAATACTGGTGGCCTGAACTGATGTGGTGGCTGGCCTTGCTTTATTACTGTTGGCAAACGTTATCTCTTTTGATTCCAGCTAGTTAAGGGCTAAAATGTATTACAGGAATATAATTTACTTTCTGATGCAAGAAGTTGTCATAATTTGAATTTATTTCAAATTCTTGTCAATCATGATTATTTGCCATACTAATGGCATTCTTAGATTTTCAACATAATCTTTGTTTCTTTATGACAAGATATGCCATTTTGTTGTACTCAAAATGGTAACAGTTTATATGCGAATATGGAGTAACTATTTTTGCTAAGGTCGAGCCATATTCGATCAGATCAGAAAAAAATATATTGTTGAGTACAACAAATAAACAAACAATTGTCATAGCTTGATACAAAAAAAACAAGGAATATTTAGAATCAATTTAAAACTTTTTTGTCCCTTAGTCAAATACTAACCTTGGTTACCGGTTCGCCTAAAAATTAATAGTTCAATTTTTGTTGGGAGTACCAAATACTTTGAAATATTGGTTCCCACTTTGACTGCAAGCAAGCATATGTAATTAAACAAATATTCAGCCATAATAAAAGATTTCCTGGTTTCAGCCAATGATGGATGAAAGTGATGATGGTGATACAAGTAGTAAAGTCGGGATCCAGCAGAGACGTACATACAGGAAACAGAGGGATGAACCGGAAGAATCCGATTCATCTAGTTCCTCGTCATCATCATCAGACGATGAGGCTCCTCCTCCACCAGCTAGTAAGCTTATACATCATACACTTGTTATGTTAAGGGTTTTGTGATGATATCGGTCTTGATATAAAAATTACTGATTCTGACCTGGAATAAGTCATCTGATGAAAGAATATTGGGCACATTAGAGATCGGAAATTCCACTGGTTCACTAATATTTACAAGTACAATTTAGGAGAATATGATAAAGGACGAGTAGAAAAATGTCTGCACATTGCATTTAGAAGGTACTCGTCCTGTAGGAAGAGACTCTGAAAATATTTTTAAATGCCTGCACATGCCAGATACATTAAATTCTTTATGTTTAAATACTACCAAACTAGCTGACAGAAGGTCCTTGGTTCAACTCCTTTGTGCCCACTGCTTGTAAAAAAAGATGCATTTAGGAAGCACTATATGTTTGCCTCTACCAGTAAAGCTGTATTGTTGCCATAGGTATAGTGTCAATGCATATTAAAGCTGGACCAAAACAAAACAAACCATTTAACTGATTTTGATGCCTGTCTTCAGATTGTTTTAGTGTAACAAAGTTAAATCATTAGAGATTTGTATTATTTTATAAACTTAGTGACATGTTCTCATGTGTACTGTTGTAATATTACAGGACGTCGTGAGAGAGATGCTAGGCGTCTTCCATCACCAAGAAGAGATGATAGATATCGCAGGTAAATTCCTGATACTTATTTTATCAAGCACAGGCAAACATTCTGGGAAGGTATATACCATCAGTATTATTACCATCCTGCACTGTGTCATAGTGTGCAGCCGCCAATGTTACTAAATATATATACATTTATTTAATATTAAATTTTTTTGCTCAATATAATTTGATGTTAATACATTGTTGTAATAACAAATTTACAGAATAAGATTTAATAGGAAAAGGGTACTGATATAAAACCAGGATTTCTATGATTTACTCTTATTCCAATATTTTAACCATTGAGACTAGTCAAGAACACTGTCCAGTAAACAGTTAAACTACCAATTAAATAAAAGTCTGTTAATAAAATGAGAGCCTTTTAACAAGTGCATAAAGAAAACTTAATATTTTCAGATATCCGTCTCCACCACATTATAGAGATAATCGTGATCGTTTTCGTGATGAACGTGATAGGTACGAGAGGGATAGATTTAGGGATGATAGAGACAGGTTTAGAGATGATCGTGACAGATATGTTGATCCTAGAAGACAGAGGTTTGTTTATAATCAGTCTCAACCACCTAATCATAATTTAATTTTACATTAAAACTTACATTGATGCTTCATAAAAGTTAAAGGCAAGAGATTATATTTCCTGCTTGGCAATGATCCTTTTTACGTCAGACTATGATGTTACAGTTGGTAAATTCTAGCAGTAAAAAAGTTTGGAAAATTCAACAAGCCAAATAAAACATTCACTGTTTTTCATTTGATATACACAGTTATGAATAGTGTTTAAAAAAAACCAATATACAGGTATGTCAAAAAGTTTAGCATCTTTTCGGAAATCTTCAGTTTTCGGGGAATTTTCAACATTTTAGTTCTAGATGTGATCAGTCAAGTGTTGTTGTAATGTTTCGGTGTTGAGATATTTGCTAATATGATACTAGAATAAGAGTACATAATAGTACAGAATGTTCACGGGTACAAGTAGATGCTTTAATCCAATAAGCTTATAATTTTACACTTATTTCAGTAGCTGCTGTTGAATATTAGAAAAGTTCAATTTTCTGATTGGTGAAGGATTAAGTTTTCAAGTTTTCTTGTGGTTAAACAATATTTTACCTTTAAGGAGTCCAATGAGACGAAGGTCACCACGTGGTTCATTTGATGAAGATACAAGACGCAGGCGAGAAAGTCCTCCAAGGAGGGAACGACGTAGGTCATCTCCCTCACCTGTCAAACGTAGATATGTAGAAAGTCCACCAGATGACAGACGCAAACGTAGGGTTGAGGCGGAGTCTCCTCCCCCAGAGAAACAAAGAAGACGTAGACGTGTAACTGATTCTGATGAAGAAATACAACAAGAGTCTCGTAGAAGAAAGATGCAAGAACCTGAACGCAGGAAGCAAAAGCAAGATGCAGTTAAAGAAGACTCTTCATCTGATGATGATGATTCCTCTCCTGAGAGACCACCGGTTAAACAGGCTTCCAGACGACGGGAACAAAACTCGGAGTCCCCTGAACCAAGAAAACCATCTGGTAAACAAAAGTTACCTCCCTCAAGAAAAAAAGCTGACACTGATAGTGAGGATAGCTCTAGTGATGAAAATGTTTCTCGTGAAGTTAGAAAAGTGAAAAAAGAATCCTCTTTTTCACCAGTTAATGAAGTACGAAGGAGAGGAAAAGATAGGTCTGAATCCCCAGTAAGGAAACCATCTCCAGCAGCTAGAAAATCCGCGTCCAGACATGAACCCTCTGAGCAACGCTTGCCCAAAAAAAGAGACTCTAGTCCAGATGAAAGTTCACCTGAAAGATCTCGTCAAAGGAAAGCTTCTTACTCTCCGGATCATAGGGAAATAATAAAAAGATCAAGGGAGAAAGAGGGCTCTATTAAACGTAAAAAGGAACGTTCCCCTAGTCCTAATGAAAGAAGACCTAAGAAAACAAGGTCATTTTCTGATGACTCGGATCAGGAGGGGAAGAAGGTACCGGAAGATTCAGATGAATATAGGAGAGTTGTTGTAATGAGATCAGAGAGTCGGGAGGAACGTGTAGTAAGACAGACATCCAGGGAAGATACCACTAAACATAAGAAGCAAGCAGTTGACTCCGAGTCAGGGGTATGAGACTTTGTTTATCTTAAAAAGTCTTCATGTTTATTTTAAGAAATTATAATTTATTCTTCAAATAGTTAAGTCATTGCAACAGTCAATTTGTTTCAGATTAAATTAAGCTTACATTCGCAAACCAGTTTCTTCTCAAATTCATAGTAAATGTGTATAATAATGTTAGTTTGAAATTGCGAGTATCTTATTTAAAATCAAAAGTTTTGCAGAATAAAATATACTATTTGGACAAGATAAAAACAAAAATCAACCAAATTGCAAACTTTAAATGTTCTCAAAATGTATAAGGCAGACAAATGGTTATTCTTGTCTTTAATTTACTTTTCTATGTTTAATATGAATGTTATTATTTAATTATTTTAAGAAAAATACTTGCATGAACAATATTATATCTCTTGCATAAAAAAGCATTTATGTAGAGTCATATGTTTAAAAAGATTTGTTTTAATGTATAATTTTTTACTTTGAAATTAATATCTGTGTAGATTGAGCCTGTATGTAGGGAAACTTAAAGAAAAAGTCATATTTCAGTCTTTGAATGTCAAATTTCAGCAATCTGGTTCAGATGATGGAAAGAAGAAAAAGAAAAAGAAAGAAAAGAAGCACAAGAAACACAAAAAGCACAAGAAACATAAGCTTAAAAAAGAGACTGTAAGTTGACGTTGATTAATTTTAATCCTGTTTATCCTGAGATCATTATGTATGTGCTTAATGCATGTCTTTAGATTTATTTATATTTCATTCTGGATAGATAACCAATAATCTTGGATAATAATGGATAATACAGTTAAATATGGACCAGTTTATACATTTTGGTACATAGTGTGTAAATGTTAAAAACTGCTAACTTGTAGTGATGGAAGTTCATTTTGGGATACATTTTGCAAATAGCATATATTTTGAAAAGTAAGAAACATTTCTCAATATTTCATTGTTTTGAATCATTCAAAGACAAATTGTGGAGAAATATTGAAATATGGGGGTGTTCATGGCCAAGGTGGTTAACATCAAACCACTGGTCTCTCAACACTAGGTCGAACTGCGGCAGTGTCTTAAGGAAGCTAGCATTTGGACAGTCAGTGGTTCTAGTGGGGCACCCATTTATGCCTGAAATATTGTATAAAGGGCACCTAAATACTTAGAGCTTACCAACTTTATATTTTCATTTTGATATCCCCAAACTTAATAGTAGTCCGGTCCAAAAATGGACAGTTGTCAAGTCAATGCAAGAAATTCACCATGATAAATGTTTTTTAGTAAATTGATAATTTTTGCATTATAATTGAAGGCGGAGTCTGATAGTGAGGAGGGGCAAGTTGGAGATGGGGAGGAGCTAGAGAAAGCCCTCAGAGAGAAAGCTCTACAATCTATGAAGCAGCGTGGTGTGTCGAGGGAGAGCCATCAAGATGACTCGTCAGATTAAAACATACATTTACATCACCATATGTATATAGAGACTATTTACATTACAACCTTTTTTTTGTCCAAGACAAATCATGATGTATATTATTATTCACAATATCAACAGATCATTGTTTCATTCCCTTGAAATATGAGTTGTGTAGAATAGAATAGACTTGTGAAATTTTTTGTAGAATGAACAATTTGATTTCACAACTTTAATCTTTAAATGGATTTTTTTGTTTCTGTTTATTTTTTTTTTTTTATTATTATTTTTTTTTATTATAAATGGTATTTGATTGGTGTAATTTTTGTTTGGATGTTATGTACTGCTTACCCAGATTTTATTTGCTACATAAAAGTGACAAAGCATTACTACAAATGTTGACTCATGCTGGCTAACTAACCTGTTATTTGTTTGTTGTAAGTTTGTAGTAAGTTTGAAATATTCTTTTTATTAATTTGATTCCTATTCTTTTGGTATTTTTAAAGCAAGATTTTGGTTGACATATTTTTATTGTACTCGTCAATAAAATTTATAGATAACTCAGATAAAATTGATTAACAAGTACCATGTTCAGTAAGTTATGTTATATAAAGAAGGCTTCTTGTGTTTAAGTAAACTTAAAAACCAGTATAGTTTTTAGCTCCACTTTTTGATTAGAAAAAGTGGAGCTATTATCAAGACCCCATCGGCATTTGTTAATCTTTTTGTTAAGGTCCATTTTCACAGAAACTATTTAAGCTTTTCACTTTGAACTTAGTTTGCATGTTTATTGTCATTAAATTACACCATTTCAGAAAGTGAAATAATTTTTTGCAAAGTTATGCCCCTTTGATATGTTGCTTCTACTTTAGTATCCTGCCGGAGAAAAGTGAACAGTGCTGTTTGTAGACAAATCTTGTTTTACTGGATCATGTAATTAGCCCTGTGTACTTATCTATAAACCTTGTCACAATGAGTGGAGACCAATTTTGACATGTAATATGTAGCAACCCAAACATAATCCTGAGAAAAAAAAAGTTCCAAGGGTTTTCTTAAACTGCCATTATTATAATCAAGTTTGGCTTTATATTATACAATGTTAAAAGATATGAGTAATACTGTAATATTTAAGTGGGTGTAAATTGATAATAAAATAGTCACAGTGGGTGTCTTTTTTAAAAGAGAATTACTTTAACCCTGCTGATTGTGTAATGGACTTGTCCTATTTTGAATTTGGTACAACACAGGAGTAGTGTAACCCATCATCTGCTAGAACCTAATATTAACCTGTGCCACCAGTATAGAGCCAGGCCAGCCTTCATATCATTGTGCAGTCTGACCAGCCTCTATACTGCTGGTAGTTTAATCTTTGTATTTCAATGTTGAAATCCCTTTAACTTTGAATGGACTGTTCCAAATTCAAAGCAGGGCAAGTTCATTATACAAATTTAGCAGGTTAAAGAGTCCCACTATCAATATAGTAAAATTGAGTAGCTACCTGAATAGAACATGGCAAGAGGAAAATTAATGCAGGCAAAGCTAGCTTTGTACTTCAGGCATAAATTTGCCATTATATCCTTGAGTGCTTTTTTTTTAGGTAAAGTACTTTAAACATATGAAATCTTGACATAATTTAATTTGTTTACTTGAAATAGATGTCTTTTTATAAAACATTTCAAAAAAGAATTTCGGCTTAATGTACTGCAAAATCAAATTTAATCCTTTTTTTTAGCTGAACTAAGTTACAGAAAACAAATTTTTAATAGTCAAAATTTTTGAAATGTGAAGCTTTGTCAAATTAAATAGAAATATTTGATCACAAATCAAATTTGTAAATTGATCTTATCAACGGTAATAGATAATGTAATATATTTGTAATGATTAACATTTAACATGTTTGTTTTTCAACTTCTTTTGAAATATTTGATGTTGACATAATTGTACATAAAAATTATTAATGTCGATTTCTAGTTACAAAATAAGGAAATGATTTAATTTTGAACATATTTATCAATCTGCACATGTATAGCATATTCTGAAGAGCATTTAAAAGCAAGAATTTTAGCTCACCTGAGCACAAAGATGAGCTATTAAGATTAGTCATTTGTCTGTGTCCATTGGTCTATTTTGTTCAGTATGTTTGTCTGGAGATGCTTAAAAAGTCAAATTTGATTACTTTTCAGGCCCTTGGGGGGGGGGGGGCAAGTCCTGTGGTCCAATCATGAGAAAACCTTGTTTCATTAATGTCTTGGACAGATCCAAACATGGACCATATGTGGTCAAGACTAGGTAACAAGGTCAATAATATGTTTCCATTTATTACTCATCTTGTGTCATAGATTAATGCTTGCACTCTATTAGCATGAGAAAAATGGTATTTCAGAAACATTAGGTGAGCGAAAAAAGGCCATCATAGCACTCTTGTTTAATTACTCAATTAAGAAATCCTGATTGATGTACTGAAAAAGTTGTAGTAGATGTGATGAATTAATTGTATATTTCATTCCGTCTATATATAAAATACACAGTTTAACATGTATATGAGTAACACAGTAGATGTTAAAAAAAACAAATGTCTGTATTTCCATAGAGCTGTTAATTGTGTACATGTATATAAATGAAATATTAGATAAAAAAGCAAATGTCTGTATTATACAGTGATTATGATACTGTTAAACAGAATGCATCAAAGGTGACTAATAAAAGTTGAAAAGGTGATATAAATCTTGGTGTTTATTTAAGGTTAATGAATGGTAAACATTAATTGAATGGTTCTACAATTGGACACAAGCATTTCAGTTTCCTCAAACCCATTGATAAGACAGTATCTGAAATGTATTGAGTATTGACTGCACTATGATTTCTTTACTTTGTATTGAACGTTGATAATTGTCACCAGTTGTGAATTCCTGTAAATAGATGAAGAGTGAAAAGTAAAGTTGCAGTATTGTGAATTTTGTACTCTTTTTGTCGAGCCGCTTTTGGAGAGCTCGACATAGTTGTCACAAATGTTCAACATCATGAGTGTTGCGCAAGAACCGTGTAGCTAGGTTAAAGGTCAAGGTCACACTTGGGTCAAGTGCAAAAAATGATTTCAAAAAGCTTGTCCGCACCATAACTATCACTAGCTGATGGGATTTCAAACAACCTGGCACAAATGTTCAACATTATGAGGTGGGGTGTCACGTGCAAGAACCTTGTGGCTAGGTTAAAGGTCAAGGTCTTTCTTTAAGGTCAAATATAAAAAAAGGTCTCGAAGAGTTTAATCTTTGTATTTCAATGTTGAAATCCCTTAAACTTTGAATGGACTGTTCCAAATTCAAAGCAGGGCAGATCCATTATACAAATTTAGCAGATTAAAGGGATACCAAAATTGAGTAGCTAACTAAATAGAACATTGCAAGAGGAAATGCAGGCAAAGCTAGCTTTGTACTTCTGGTATAAATTTGCCATTATATTCTCTAGGGCATCTTATGAGGTAAACTACTTTTAACATTTGAAATCTTGACATAATCGAATTTGTTTAATTTTTAGCTCGACTATTCGCAGAATAATCGAGCTAATGCAGTCACCCATTTGTCGGCGTCCCTGTGGTTAAGTTTTTGTATGTAAGCTGGTATCTCCATAAGTACTGAAGGGAATGGATTGAAACTTCACACACTTGTTCTCTGTGATTATCTAAGATGATTAGCACAAGTCCCATAACTCTGATTTGCTTTTTTACATAATTATGCCCCTTTTTTGACTTAGAAATTCTTGGTTAAGTTTTTTGTATGTAAGCTGGTATCTCCAAAACTACTGAAGGGAATGGATTGAAACTTCAAACACATGTTCTCTGTGATTATCTAAGATGATTGGCACAAGTCCCATAACTATGATTTGCTTTTTTACATAATTATGCCCCTTTATCGACTTAGAAATTCTTGGTTAAGTTTTTGTATGTAAGCTGGTATCTCAATAACTACTGAAGGGAATGGATTGAAACTTCACACACTTGTTCTCTGTGATTATCTAAGATGATTGGCACAAGTCCCATAACTATGATTTGCTTTTTTACATAATTATGCCCCTTTTTTGACTTAGAAATTCTTGGTTAAGTTTTTGTGTGTAAGCTGGTATCTCCATAACTACTGAAAGGAATGGATTGAAACTTCACACACTTGTTCTCTGTGATTATTTAAGATGATTGGCACAAGTCCCATTACTCTGATTTGCGTTTTTACATAATTATGCCCCTTTTTCTACTTAGAAATTCTTGGTTAAGTTTTTGCGTGTAAGCTGGTATCTCCACAACTACTGAAGGGAATGGATTGAAACTTCACACACTTGTTCTCTGTGATTATCTAAGATGATTGGCTTAAGTCCCATAACTCTGATTTGCTTTTTTACATAATTATGCCCCTTTTTCGACTTAGAAATTCTTGGTTAAGTTTTTGCGTGTAAGCTTGCATCTCCATAACTACTGAAGGGAATGTATTGAAACTTGAAGGGTTTGTACCTTTTTGGACAATTTTATGTAACCATAAAGGTAAGCATTATTATACTCAATGAAACACCCTTGTGACAAATTTCCGAATAGTCGAGCGTTACTGTCCTCCGACAGTTCTTGTTTGTAAAACTATGCAAAAAAGAAATCGGCTTAATGTACTGCAAATTTCAATTAACTTTTCTTTTTCTTTTTTTAGCTGAACTGAGTTACAGAAAATGAATTTATAATAGTCATTTTTTTTTAATGAGAAGCTTTGTCAAATTTAATAAAAATATTTGATCACAAATCAAATTGGTAACTTGATCTTATCAACAGGAATAGATAATGTAATATATTTGTAACGATTGACATTTTTCATGTTTGTATTTCATCTTCTTTTGATGATAATTGTATTAAACACATAATTGTACATAAAAATTATTAATGTCGATTTCTGGTTACAAAATAAGGAAATAAACTTTGAACATATTTATCAATCTACACAGCATATTCTGAAGCGCATTTAAAAGCAAGAATTTTAGCTCACCTGAGCACAAAGATGAGCTATTTAGATTAGTCATTTGTCTGCGTCCATTTGTCTATCATGTTCAGTATGCTTGACTTGAGATGATTAAAAACTTTTCAGGCACTTTTGGGGTAGGTGTGGGGTGGGGGGGGGGTATTGTTGTCAAATCACGAGAAAAACCTTGTTACATTTTATAAAAAATGAGTCGGTGGGTTAGTTTCATTGAGGTCTTGAACAGATCCAAACATGGACCATATGTGGTACAAACTAGGTCAATAATATGTTTCCATTTATTACTCATCTTGTGTCATAGATTAATGCTTGCACTCTATTAGCATGATAAAAATGGTATTTCAGAAACATTAGGTGAGCGAAAAAAGGCCATCATAGCACTCTTGTTTAATTACTCAATTAAGAAATCCTAATTGATATACTGAAAAAGTTGTAGTAGATGTGATGAATTAATTGTATATTTCATTCCGTCTGTATATAAAATACACAGTTTAACATGTATATGAGTAAAACAGTAGATGTTAAAAAAAACAAATGTCTGTATTTCCATAGAGCTGTTAATTGTGTACATGTATATAAATGAAATATTAGATACAAAAGCAAATGTCTGTATTATACAGTGATTATGATACTGTTAAACAGAATGCATCAAAGGTGACAAATAAAAGTTGAAAAGGTGATATAAATCTTGGTGTTTATTTAAGGTTAATGAATGGTAAACATTAATGGAATGGTTCTACAATTGGACACAAACATTTCAGTTTCCTCAAACCCATTGATAAGACAGTATCTGAAATGTATTGAGTATTGACTGCACTATGATTTCTTTACTTTGTATTGAACGTTGATAATTGTCACCAGTTGTGAATTCCTGTAAATAGATGAAGAGTGAAAAGTAAGTTGCAGTATTGTGAATTTTGTACTCTTTTTGTCGAGCCGCTTTTGGAGAGCTCGACATAGTTGTCACAAATGTTCAACATCATGAGTGTTGCGCAAGAACCGTGTAGCTAGGTTAAAGGTCAAGGTCACACTTGGGTCAAGTGCAAAAAATGATTTCAAAAAGCTTGTCCGCACCATAACTATCACTAGCTGATGGGATTTCAAACAACCTGGCACAAATGTTCAACATTATGAGGTGGGGTGTCACGTGCAAGAACCTTGTGGCTAGGTTAAAGGTCAAGGTCTTTCTTTAAGGTCAAATATAAAAAAAGGTCTCGAAGAGCTTGTCCGCACCATAACTCTATCACTAGCTTGTGGAATTTCAAATAACCTGGAACAAATGTTCAACATAATGAGATGGCATGTTGCACGCAAAAATCGTGTGGCTATGTTAAAGGTCAAGGACATACCTTAAGGTCAGATATGACAGCTCTCCTATTCACAGTTAGCGGGCTCGACATGCATGAAGGGCGTTTGTTGCCAAAATTCCAGTCATGTAAGGTGTTCCTTTTGAAATCTACTTTTGAAAATGCGAACGTGTATGTCTAGCATATTTGATTGTATTAGTGCACAGAAAATTATATGCCTCTTAATCCCAACTTTTAATTGAAGGCACCCCTTTAAATAAGAAGTTTACATCGATGTAGATCTTAACATCTGACCTAACATGGAATACAACAACAAATTTACATGTTCGTATCTTCCATTGCATATACATAAGCAAGTTAGCACACTTATAGAAAGGGATATACAAATAAAATGTTAAACTCGAATACAGAAAACAGAGTTTAAGAAAACGTGTACGTTTACACAGTAACATGTTTAATGTGACAAAAATAGAGATTGTAAGTCATGCATGATTCCCGGCCCAATGAACGGATAGGTGTAAAACCTGGCGCCTCTCCTCTATTTCTCAATAAAGTGAAGGAAAACATGGCGTCCCTTCTAACTTTTTTTTAATTTATCAAATGAAAGATTACTCCATAAGCTTTCTATGGATACATCAGAAATAAAAACGAATTAAATAGATGTATTAAAATTTTTGTATTAAAATTTATTTTTCTTTTTTTTTCTGAAAATCACACTTAAATTCGGCGACCTCTCCAAACTTTTTTTTTAATTTCTTAATCAATTTTGATAATTTTGTATTGAAAAAAAAGACTGCTTCATAAGTTTTATAGTCTATGATTATAGAATGCCTAAAAATAAAAATGAATTAACCCATTACGCGATATACACGTCTTTTAACGCCCCTTTTTTTGTTATCTCAAATGGTGAAAAATGCCTTATTTAGGCTCCCAACACTTGTTTTTGTTTGAGAAATGTTGTAAAAAAAATGACCACTTTTTCGGCGCGGCCCCCAACCAAAAGATACATCAGGGGGTGCCAGAAGGTGGATGTGCCCCCTTCTGTTGGGGGGGGGGGGGTTGAAGGGAGGCGGCAGTCCCCCTCATCGCCAAGAAAATTTTGGACTTGTGAGAGGCTAAAAATGACCCCAGATCGATCATAAGGTAACGTGTAACCAACGCTGAAAAGCATTTGACTCTATCTCAATCCAGATGCAGCACTTTGAAATCAATTTTGATGGAAAATATCAACGCAAAATTGTGATTTTTGGTAATTTTGAGATGTCCCCTCGTTGCCATGGTAACAGAAAATTTAAGCCTGAGCATGTTGTTGCAAAGGCAATGGTCCAGTCAACATTTGTGCCAAGTTTGATTAGTATTGAAGCAGTTTTATAGCAATTTGAACTTGTAACGGGAGACTTTTCAATGAAAA